AGGGAGAGAAATAAGAGACATCTTTGCATTTCTGTGGGAAGGTGGCCATTTTCCCTTTCTGACCACAGTGTTGAAGGTAGTGTGGGAGAGGTGAATTTGGCATCTCGCGGGGAGGGAGTGCTAGTCTTTCTGCACTGGGTGTGGAGGCAGTGCGGGTGCAGAAAGAGTCACAGTTCTGTTCTGATAGGGAATTTTGAAAGTTCACCACTTTGTTTTAGCAGAATTGGAAGGACAGGATCCTTGTCCCTTCTAGGTGAAGGGAGTGCATGAGTCCAACCCATTTGAAGAATTTTCTTTGGGAAAGCATGGCCACCAGGTGGGCTGATTCTAGCTGGTCCTACATTCTGGCTTTCCCATTTTCATGGGAAAGCACCCTATCAAGTGATGTGTCGGTCCTGCCCGTCTGCTGTCCTTTTAACCCACAGCAGCCTCCTCATAGTCAGGGCTTGAGGCACATGGGGAAAAGGAAGGATGACTGGGTGCTCTGACTCAAGAGAGCAGCCCAGGATGGATGAGGGGGTGAGGGAGACAGCGTGTCCCACAAAGAGAGTTGATAGAGGGCTGGGAGGGAAATTCTCAGATTTCATCTGAGAGCTCTTCCTTCCTTCCATTCGTAAAGCTTTAATGCTCATCCCCTTATACACTTCATACCAGTGCCGTAGCAACAAAGTTTGGCGCCTGGGGCAAAGCCTGCAGTGGCAGCCTGCCTTCACCCTTTGCACAGATCTCGGGGGGGAGGTTGTGGAGGGGAGACACACACATGGCCCCCCCTGCTTGCCCAGGAGCCACCGTTTCCCCATCCCTGCACCCCCTCCAAATGAGCCACTTGCAATTCTGTGTCGTCCCCCCGCACACCCCGCTATGGCACTACTTCATAAGTTTTTGTTTCTAATCTTTTAATAATAAAGGTCTAAAAAGTGAAAAATGTCTTTTATGTATGTATATCAGTGTATGTATGCATGTATCTATTTAACCAGTTAGCTATTTTCACTAAAAGCAGAGGGGGAGCTTAGTTCTGAGACTTTACTGGGGAAAGTCCCACAGAATCATTTCAAATTTGTACCAAAAAAACCAAGAAACGAGAAATGAAAAAAAAACCTTGTGATTCTCTTTCCCGTAACTGATATGTAAAACTCCTCCTAGTATTTGCGTCACTGCACACCACATCCAGCCCCCTCCCAGAGTATATGTCATAGCTGCAGGTTGGGGGAGAGGGGGAGGGAGTAAAGTGGGGGGCGGGGGGGCAGGCGTATGCTCTCAAGCTGGCATGCTGCTGCCATCTGCTGGGGGCCGAGTTGTATGAGGTTAACCCCTCCTCTTTTCCGCCCCCACAGCTCTCCTTAAACAGAGAGCATCCAAAAAACGAGCAGCAAGAAAAGCCTCATGACGTCATCTGCCCCCTCCCTGAAGACAAGGGCAGGGCTGTTCCTAACAGCACTGCTGCTTTTCAGAGCCTTATTCAGTGGGATTTCCACCAGGTCACCTGGGAAAATGATTCCACTGTCTCATATAACCCTGCTGCCAGGATCCCTCCCCCCCTTCTCTGCTCTGCTGTTATTCCCATTTTTTCTCATTCTGGCCGACTAATCCCCTCCCCGCCACTATAACACACTGTTTTTATAAACCCTCTGGGCATGGGTGGAGGAATTAGTCTCACCAATCCAGTCACATCCTGCCCAAGCCTGTTTCTGCCAGAGAGTCAGTCTCTCTCTTCTTACTGCTGTTCTCTGAATTTCTCTTCCTCTCAACTGCTAATTCCTCTTTAGTTGCATTGATCCACTCAAGCTTCTGTGCCTCTGTGTCTCCAGGCTATCCTCATTTTCTGGCCCTGAGATAAAAGATCCCCTGACCCGACAGAGGCATATTATTAATGCTGCTCACCATCTTCTATTATAGATTATTCAGGAGTTCTTCAACCAGACATTGTCAGTTCGGAGAGGGACCCCAGTCTCTGATGAGCTCCTCACCTCACTATGGTCCCTTTCTGTGGCCATCTTCTCTGTAGGAGGAATGATCGGCTCCTTCTCCGTTGGCCTTTTTGTCAACCGATTCGGCAGGTGCGTCGGGAAGGAAGGGGCTTGAGTTGCTGGGAGGTTTGCCTTTTTGCTTTAGGATACTGAGACAAGGAGAGGAGATTGCTTCTCTCCCAGATTCTGGACCAGTAGATTGGGAGGGAGGGAGAGATGGGACCAAGTCCTCCATGGGTGAGAGTGAAACACAAGAGGCAGAAATTGGCAGAAGGACAAGGTTGAGAGGAAGGCTGAGCGGGGGAGGATCTCCTGAGATGGGTTTCTGGGTCTACAGCTCCTTCCCAGCACTACCCAGCACTAACTCCATATCCTTTACCTTGGCAGGAGGAACTCCATGCTAGGGGTGAACATCCTGGCCCTGGCGGGAGGAATACTCATGGGCTTCTCCAAGCTGACAGGTGCAGTGGAGATGCTAATCATAGGCCGCTTCATCATTGGCATCTTCTGTGGGCTCTGCACTGGCTTTGTGCCCATGTACATCAGCGAAGTCTCACCCACTGCCTTGCGTGGTGCCTTTGGCACCCTGAACCAGCTGGGTATTGTGGTGGGCATCTTGGTGGCACAGGTAAGGTTGACACTGCTTTTTACACAGGCTAGCGGGAAGGGTGCAGAGCAAGGAGGGGCTTATATGCTGTTCGCTTGTTGTCATCAGAGGAGTTAAGGACTCATGGCCCTTTTTTCAGCAGGAGAAAAGGGTGGGTTGCATACCATGGTAGCTTCAGACAGGAGCCAAGGCACTTAGGGTCCAGGGAGATCCACCAGTTTCAGAGGTCCCAGGAACTGGTCAGGCTCTGACTATGAGATATAGCTAAGCTATGGAAGTAGGCGGTTCAGGGCCTCCAGGGACGCAGGTGGCTAGGAATGAGGGTGACCACTTTGTTTCAGGGATCACTCCATGAAAAACAGAGGATGAAGGGGAAAAAAGGGAATTTTTGACCTAAGGAAATCATCTTAACATCTATTCTTGTTCTTCCTGTTTGCTACACCAGATCTTTGGCTTGAACCAGATCATGGGGACCAAAACACTCTGGCCACTGCTTCTGGGGTTCACCATCATCCCAGCCATCTTGCAGTGTGTGGCTCTGCTTTTCTGCCCGGAGAGTCCCCGTTACCTGCTGATCAACAAAATGGAAGACGATAAAGCAGAAGCAGGTAAGGACCGGCCTCTGCATGGGATCACAGGACAGCTTGCGGCCTGCCTCACCCATGCTCCCAGGCCACACAAAACCCAGGCAGGATGAGAGACTAGGATAGACATTAGCACCTGAGTGTCCTGATCCCCTGAGATCACTAGATCTGCCCTTCCTTATACCCCCAACCTGCCCCAGGTCCAGAAAGCATGAAAGACCTGATCTGAATCTCTCTCATAGTCTCAAAGAGCATTAAGACTTAACGAGCACTGAATTTAGCTGTGGTGTTCCTAAATAGCCCCAAAGTAAGGGGTTGAATACAAGTGAGAATAGATCACAAGGCTGCAGTACAAGAGACCTAGATAACTATACATCTGGCCAGGACATTAGCTATATTTCTACAGTGCCCCTAGGGCATCTGACCCTAAGCTAGATAGGTGGCCGAATCAAGGAACTGAGCCTTCTTCTCAGCATCTTAGAGCACTTGCCCATCACAACGTCTGTCTTCCCAGTGCTCCCTCTGCAAGGCAACTGGGAGACCAGGGTTGGGTGCAGAACTTAAGGCCTCTTTACTGCAGCCAGGTGAACCAATGAGGCCCCAGCTATAATATTTTGGTTTTCTCCCCCAAGTTCTCCAGAAGCTCCGTGGCACATCGGATGTGAGCCAAGACATCCAAGAGATGAAGGACGAGAGTGCCAAGATGTCTCAGGAAAAGAAGGTGACGGTGCCAGAGCTCTTCCGGTCTCCGAGCTACCGCCAGGCCATCATTGTTGCCATTGTGCTTCAACTCTCCCAGCAGCTCTCAGGCATCAATGCTGTAAGTGAGCTTCATTTTTCATTTCCTGGGCTCAGTTCTCTTTTACTGCACTTGAGTGGCTCTCATTGACAGTTGCTAACATACAGTGATGAGAGTATCTGGCCCCCTGAGTTTTTCACTTCCCATCTTGAACTGAGGCCACTTTTTTGTGATACTGCCTGCCAAAAATTGCTCCCTGGAACATTCAGCTGCTCCACTACTTCCTCAGGCATGGATGGCATATCCTATAGCTCAGCTGCCATGGAAGCAGAAACTTAGGAGTGTGAGATCAATCAAATGTTCAGTGGCCTCAGAAACTGGTCAGACACTGACTGTGCTCCAGGTGACCTGTGGAAGTGGGCTGCCCAGAACCTCAGAAGAGATGGGTACCGAGGAACAAAGGGTGACAATCTCATTTGAGGGGGCACTCTATGAAAAACAGGAGACAAAGGGTGAGGCACCTCCCTAGGGCAGTTTTCAGGGCAAAATGTTATATCCCATATCACAATGTGTGATCCCTCGCACAAGCATGGACTGGAAAAGTATCATTTTATCTGGTCAAACATGTCATAATAGCTCTTTGTTGAACGTACCAAGCATCAAGCACAACAATAAGGGATATCACAATGTAGATACAAGAATGCTAACCATATCCAACTGCTTCTTTTGCTTCCAGGTGTTTTATTATTCCACTGGGATTTTTGAAAAAGCTGGTATCACCCAGCCAGTTTATGCCACCATTGGTGCCGGGATTGTGAACACTGTCTTCACTGTTGTATCGGTAAGCAGCACTGGGGATCGTGGTGAGGGATTTGCATGATGGGTGGCTTTGGGAGAAATGGATGGCATCAAGTGACACAGGGCCAGTTTTATCTCGTCATTCAGAGTGTGCCTAAGGGTGTACTACACCATGATTAGCAAAGGAAAAAGACAAGCACAGAGGTGATTGGGAGAGAGGAAAGGAAAGGAAGGCCGGAAAGAGCATAAGAGTGCAAGAGGGAGAAAAGGGAAAAAAAGGTGAAAGAATGCAAGTGGGTAGGAGACAAGAGACAGAGGAAGGAAAAAGGAAGGAAAAGTAAAAGAATGAAGAGCAAGAGCTTGGAGAAATGTTGTCCTGTGACCCCACACATTAATTCAGGGTGTGGTTGATCACAGAGGTACTAGAGGGTTGGGGACAGAAGGCAGACAGGGGCCCTTGGGACAGAATAGGGTGACATACCGACTGCATCAAGATACAGAGAACCCCTTCAGGTGCTGCCTTGATATTCAGTGTTTTTTTTCTCTTCTGCTGCCACATCTTTCAGCTGTTCCTGGTTGAGCGTGCAGGGCGCAGGACCCTCCATCTAGTCGGCTTGGGTGGCATGGCTGTTTGCGCAGCCATCATGACCATTGCTTTGGCACTGAAGGTGAGTCATTGGCATCCAAATTTTGCTGTTGTCTGGGATAGTGACAGAATAGAGATGTTGAAAGGGTCGTAGATGGGGAAATGGTGGGGTGGGGGTGGGGCAAAGGCAAAGGAAGGGATGTCTTCATGGGAGGCACCTGGAATTCAGGGTGAGCAGGGAGGCAAGGGATCTTCAAGGCAAAGGGAGGAGAATCTCCAGCAGGGGTCAATCAGGGGAGCATATAGTTCAGAGACTGTACTGCACCATGGAGAATATGGGGATATTAGGAGCTTTTGATTCTGCTGTTTGCCTGTTGAGTGACAGCTGCTTCTGTTTCCTTCTCTTGCAGGACATCGTGACCTGGATTAGGTACATCAGCATTGTGGCTACCTTTGGCTTTGTGGCTCTTTTTGAAATTGGCCCTGGCCCCATCCCCTGGTTTATTGTGGCTGAACTCTTCAGTCAGGGCCCACGCCCAGCAGCCATGGCAGTGGCTGGTTGCTCCAACTGGACCTCCAATTTCCTGGTGGGGATGCTCTTCCCTTATGCTGAGGTAAGGTCACTCTCTGGAAATCATCGGTGATGATCTGGTCACTAACTAGTCCATGTCAGCAGAGTACTGCAGCTTCCCAAAGCCTTTGCTTTCACTTGCCTTTTGGCTGAGACAATGCCATGAGTTTAGGCAATCCCTTTAAAAGCTTCAGTTTTTGTCAGCCAAAATAGCATTAAAGGTTCAGAAGGATGCCTTAAGAAAGGTGCAAATAGTAGAGCTTTCCCTTGAAAAAAGCAAGGTTAAAAGTAAACAAATCTGTGTTTCAGAGAGGTTGTCATCATTCTGAACTGCAGAGAACCGCACCTTCATTTTAGCTTTACAGGTTTTTTTCCAAATTATAATTCTTTCCTCTTCTATCCTCCTTGCAGAAACTGTGCGGTCCCTATGTCTTCCTCATCTTCCTTGTTTTTCTGGTTATCTTCTTTGTCTTCACATTCTTCAAAGTCCCAGAGACCAAGGGCAGGACTTTTGAAGACATCTCCAGGGGCTTTGAAGGGCGGCCAGAAGAAGTTAGACCTACATCACCTGTGGAAAAAAGCCCCATGGTGGAACTGAACAGCATACAGCCTGCTAAGGAAGCTTTCTAAGATATTTCACACCATTCCTTGACCCATTTTTCATCCTTAAAGGGGTAGGCAGAGAGTCCTTAAAGGAATGGGCCAATGGATACATAAGGAGAATATCTGGGACAATTTTTTAACTGCTGCTATTTTATTCTCCCCTTCCCATTCCCACCAACCCTGTTTCTGCCAAACCTTGCAGTCAGTTAGCAAGTCCCATGTGGGGAAGATCTCACCCACTTTCAACACTGGAAGGTACCAGGCGCTACAGCAAAAATAACCTCATCTTCACCTGCCTTGCATCTAAGGAGACCAGAGAACAGAGGGCAATATTTTTGCCTCTCTCACCTTTAATTGCTACTAGGAATTAACCTATTTATGCACATAGCAATCACTTAATTTTTGGAACTGATTATTTTTGTATAGTGAGGTAAAACAACCAAACAAGTCCCCTGTTCCTTCCCACTTCTATTCCACTGCGCGTATACATGTGCATGGTGTTACACTGGAACGTAACAAACTTACCAAAATGCAAAAAGCCATCACATTGTATTGTTTGTCCAGTGAACACTACTCTCAGCCTCAGGAAAAGGGGACCAAGTTACGAGAGCATTTTTTTCTTTTCTTTTTGTACAAATTGTTTGAGATGTAATATGACCTGAATTTTATTTATTGGTGTGTCACTTTGTTTGTAAATATTTATTTTTTTAACATAAAGATGACAAAGTGGAAGATGTTTGAGATAAATAAGATAACTCTGCAAAATGATGCTATCGACTTTAAGTGCAATAAAACTGTAATGAGAGAATATGGTACCAAACAGGATGCATGAAAGGAAGCTGATTATACATGTTACCTTTAAAAGTAATTTCTGTCCTCCAAACAGAAATATGAAGACTTGAGTACTCGTGAAATTGAGCATGTG